GAATCCACAACTGCATTCTTATTTTCCACACCTAAGAAATCCTGCAGGTCCAGAAAAAAAAACACATATATACAACACAAAGATCAAATCACTACCATTAAGCACCACCAAGGCTTATACAAATCACACAAACGCAACAATTATTCAAATTCTAGGCTATCACCAAACCAAGATAATCCAAAGATCCAGTAGAAAAATTAAGAACGACTTACAGACTTCTCCCTTGACGTCTCTTTGAGTATTCCATCCTCTTCGATCTCCACTTTTGTAACTCCCCTTGGAGCTGGGGTGATACCGGAAAGATCAAACTTTCCAAGCTAGATCCAACCTTGGTCAAGGGTTTTGCATCCCTCCCACTCAAAACTTCTCTCTATGTATTTCGATCTCTCTGTATTTCAATCACTCTCTGTATTTCGATCTCCATCTCTTTGATGCATTCCTTGTCCAAGGATTGTATCCAGCTTGGAAAGTTTGTTGTCCTTGCTTCCTTCCTTAGAGATCGATGAGGTGGAATACTCAATGTGACGTCAAGGTAGATGATCCCTGGAGCATTATAATCACGTCTACACCATCATGATCAGTCAGAACCCTGTCAATGCTCACTTAGGTTACAAATTGAACCCTTTTGATGATGTTACAGTAAGCTCTTCATTTTGAGCCAAAATCAGACACTGCATTATACAGGAGATTGGCAAATACCTGTGATAGCTAATAGAAATACACATAGATCAGCAAAAGTTAATGTACTAACCATATACCCTCAATTGCTTTTCCAAGAAAGGTTGTGGAGAGTTGGCGTGCCAGTCCCTGGCTGAGATCATACACGTTCAAGGTAACCCTGTGCCCTTCCTGCGACCAATTTCTGAGCTTAGTCAACCAGCCAAGGAAATAATACGCAAACAAGCGACAGGAGAAGCAGCCTCAACTCCATTAGCAAAAACCACAGCTTACCTCAGCCATAATCGAGAAATTCAGAAAAAGAGGGAGCTTCGAATCGTCAGATTAACGAACTAGCCCAATCCTTTTTCAGCTACGCCTGCCGAGATCACAGAGAAATCGGAAACCCAAAAGTCACTTTCCAACATCACAGACCGAACATACGGGGGTCTGGAAAGATCGCATTTCAACGCACAGCGCAGAATCGCCGGCGAAATTCACAATAAATCCGGGGAGAAAATCCCCCATCCATAACTGCAGATCTAATCCCGCAGGAAAAATAAAAAATGTGAGGCGGAGACACGAAGCTTGTGGTCGGATAGGTAATCCCTGGTGAGAAAATCTGGAAACAAAGAGGGAATCAAACGAAACATCGACGCCGCAAGAAACCGCGAGAGCAAGAGAGAGAGAGAGAGAGGAAGGTGGAAAGGGGAGATCTATCTTCGTTTACCTTTGTCCTTCTCGCCGAAGTCGGAGAAGAGACCTGGTCCCTTGCTCATGGCGGCCGGCGAAACGGAGTCGGAGCGGGGAGGATTTGGGGGCAAGGGTTTATGAAAAACCCTATAATGCGAGAAATGGGAGAGAGCTTCGCCTGTGGTGGTGGGAGCTTGTTCGAACTGGGAGTAGAGGGTTGGGGGTCGAAGTGCGATGGCGAGGGTTGGGGGTCGAAGTAGAACAGAGGGTTGGGGGTCGGGTTCAAGTAGAAAAGAGGAATTTTTACATAGGGTGTTTCCAATTTTAGGGTTAATCTCACGGCTTTTTGTCCCGGGCGGGATATAACCCGTGAAACCCTCTGGAGCTTACAATTTTTTTAAAAAAATTCTAACGGTACATATCCCGACCGTGAGGTTTCAGTTATGAGGCGTGTTTTTGGGTTTCATCTGTGATCATCTCACGGTTTCTCTCACGGCCGTGATATTTCCAACCCAAAACCGATAATCAAACGCATATATCAATTACCTCAATCTCACATCGGTTCACAATTACATGGGGTTCAACCCAAAACCGATAATCAAACGCTCATTCAACCATATACATAACCTCAATCTCACATCGGTTCACAATTACATGGGGTTCAACCCAAAACCGATAATCAAACGCTCATTCAACCATATACATAACCTCAATCTCACATCGGTTCACAATTACATGGGGTTCAACCCAAAACCGATAATCAAACGCTCGCTAAACCATATACATAACCTCAATCTCACATCGGTTCACAATTACATGGGGTTCAACCCAAAACCGATAATCAAACGCTCGCTAAACCATATACATAACCTCAATCTCACATCGGTTCACAATTACATGTTCAACCCAAAACCGATAATCACACGCTCATTCAACCATATACATAACCTCAATCTCACATCGGTTCACAATTACATGGGGTTCAACCCAAAACCGATAATCAAACGCTCACTAAACCATATACATAACCTCAATTTCACATCGGTTCACAATTACATGGGGTTCAACCCAAAACCGATAATCAAACGCTCATTCAACCATATACATAACCTCAATCTCACATCGGTTCACAATTACATGGGTTCAACCCAAAACCGATAATCAAACGCTCGCTAAACCATATACATAACCTCAATTTCACATCGGTTCACAATTACATGGGGTTCAACCCAAAACCGATAATCAAACGCTCATTCAACCATATACATAACCTCAATCTCACATCGGTTCACAATTACATGGGGTTCAACCCAAAACCGATAATCAAACGCTCACTAAACCATATACATAACCTCAATCTCACATCGGTTCACAATTACATGTTCAACCCAAAACCGATAATCACACGCTCATTCAACCATATACATAACCTCAATCTCACATCGGTTCACAATTACATGGGGTTCAACCCAAAACCGATAATCAAACGCTCACTAAACCATATACATAACCTCAATTTCACATCGGTTCACAATTACATGGGGTTCAACCCAAAACCGATAATCAAACGCTCATTCAACCATATACATAACCTCAATCTCACATCGGTTCACAATTACATGGGGTTCAACCCAAAACCGATAATCAAACGCTCGCTAAACCATATACATAACCTCAATCTCACATCGGTTCACAATTACGTGGGGTTCAACCCAAAACCGATAATCAAACGCTCGCTAAACCATATACATAACCTCAATCTCACATCGGTTCACAATTACATGTTCAACCCAAAACCGATAATCACACGCTCATTCAACCATATACATAACCTCAATCTCACATCGGTTCACAATTACATGGGGTTCAACCCAAAACCGATAATCAAACGCTCACTAAACCATATACATAACCTCAATCTCACATCGGTTCACAATTACATGGGGTTCAACACCAAAACCGATAATCAAACGCTCACTAAACCATATACATAACCTCAATCTCACATCGGTTCACAATTACATAGGGTTCAACCCAAAATCGATAATCAAACGCTCATTCAACCATACATAGTAAAAATCAAACGAACAATGAATTTTAGCAAATATGTTAAGTAGTCTGACTGGTTAATACGCTGAATTATTATGCCAAGTGCTCTGGTTCGAACCTTCTTGATGTCGTTTTTTTTCACTAACTAGCGAGCCCACAATCTCACGGGTGTGAGATGGTCCTTTCAAGACCGTGAGGTTCTCTGAACATAGGGAATGATTTTTTGAATCTCAAGGCCCAGTCTCACGGGCGTAAAATTACCATCATTAAGCCGTTATAAAATCCCATCTCACGGCCAAGTCTCACGCCCATGAGAATTTACAAAGTGGCCGTGAGATGTCCATCATTCATATCCAAAACACGGCTCATCTCACGGCCGTGATACTGTCGAAGGCAACCCGTGAAACTGTCTGGAACTCCACCTTTGTATGGAAAAAATCTCACGGTCTCTCTCACGGCCTATCTCACAGCCGTGATATTTCCAGAATTACAAATCCAAAAAGACGCCTGCTTTCAAGTCCATTTTCAACCATTTTTCGGTATATGATCATGCATAATTTTTCCCTTGTTGACACATTAAACATAATATAGAGAAAAAATAACATCACTGAATAATGCTTCATTCATAATATAGAGAAAAAATAACATCTACATTCACTAAAATTCATTCAACATCTACATTATCCTAAACTTCAATCAACATCCACATTAACTAAACTCTACATTAACATCACAAGTCTCAATGGTTCTTAGACTTTCTACCCTTTTTCTCCCCATGCGCGTGCAACGGTTTTCTTCCTCGATTGAGTAAGTTTGTCTTGAAATTCACCTTCTCAGTCTCGATTTGCGCAGGTCTTGCATGTCTCTCAAAATATTCATCTGATTGTGTCTTAACTGTAGCTTTCACCTCATTCAGATCCGTAGTGAGCAAGTACATTGTAAGTTGTGCCCGCTCATAGTCACTGTGGAACTGGTCAAGCTTCTTGGAATATCGATCTGGATCCAGCAAGTAATTGATGACAAATAGTCCACAATCAAATCTGTAATATAACAAATAATTACCATGGTCATGATGCGAACAAATAATTATCGAACTTAATTAGAACAATGCACGATTGAACAACAACAAAGGGTACCCATTTGCTTGGCAAGCAACATCCTGGCGATATCTAACCACGAAGTCCACAAATGAAAACGCCCCGCAGATATCATCCTTAAGCAACCAATCTAGACCCAATTTCTGCAAATGAAAACATCCCCCTCATCGATATATAACGACAAAGTCGGCAAATGAAAAACAACTAACAACTAAGCAATACGTAAAGCTTGAAAACTTGAAGAACAAGAAGCAAACCAGTTTCTGCATCCTTGCATCATATTCTTCATTATGAGTTCCTCGTAATGAGTCCCAGATTTCAATTTCTTTCGCTTCCATGTTAAAGACCGCCAGATAGAAGTGCTGCAACGTGAGGTTGAAAATTGGGACATGAATATGAAATAATGGACAAACAAACAATAATTATCAATTTAACATAGGAGGGTGAAGCCATTTGCTTTTAGAAAACAACATTACAACATACCTTACTGCAGTAAAGTAGCTCACCAATACAGTATCGCTCATGTATCTTATATGAACGCATCTTAGCCATAAATTGCTCCTCGTTGCAATGACTCGCACGATCCTAGAAAAATAAAACACAGTCACCCACACAAGCTACATGTAACAAAAAATAGATTAATTTCATGACAAGAATAGACAAAGCAGTCAACTGTACCGAAACTGAAGGTGGAAAGAACCAAGACAAGCCACCACGGCGACCACAACTTCGTTCTTCTAGTGTCTTGCACAGACACGTCATTTCTATAATCTAATGCATCATCATCACATATACCAAAGTCAGCAATACACGTTCAATCTACTAAATTACACACATAAATGAACTTACCCTTGTTGAAATTTTGGTCCTTGGCAAAAGCTCGACAAAATCTTCACGTAACAAGGAAAGAACCCCGCCACCAACACTAACCAATATGTCACTGTTATACAATACCAAGTTCAAACAACACAACATTAGAATAAGGCAAATACCAAAAACATCCTACAAATATGATCCAATTTTACTTGTAATGATTTCGGGAGGTACCTTTCGGGAAGCTCACTACTAAAAGCAAATTGAATCATCTTCACTGCCTCCAGAGTCAATGGTGTCTGAACAACAAAGGGAGGAGCACGGTACAAAGGTTGTGCTTTCTTAGCTCTTGGATTTGCCCGTTCGAATGGAGAGACCACATACAAACTAGGCTTCAATTTAGACACACTACGTAGTGCACCTCCCTTTCGCCCCTTTCTTGTTCAAAAACATAAAAACAAAACCAGTTCATTAGTAATCACATAAACGTAGACGGAGCCAACATTCAAACGAAATAAAAAGCTCAAATGAATGCAAAGAATCACATAAGACTAATGCAAAGCTCATGCAAAGAATCACAGAAGACAAATGCTTCGATTACCCTTTTCTAGAATACATCCACACAACAAGCATACTACAAATAGTTGCTAGCTTAACCACAATGGGAACATGATTAGGACTCCTCTCCCAGCGCTCACAAAGACAAGATGAATTGCATGCTTGGAATGACGATTATGTAACTCAACAAGGCAATAGCTCTCTCGACACATGCAACTCACACCGGTTTTCCAAGTGAAATGGAGTTTCCATTTATGAAAAAGTAAACAAAAAAAGTTTCCAAAACTAATTTATGATATCATTTTCATGAGATAGCATTTAGCTATGGTGGAAAACCACATAAAGAACACATGATCTTTGCTTGGTTCATGCATGCTATTTCCTAGGCTCTTTCACCAAGTGTGAGTTTTCTTGGTGACAAGCATTTTCCTCTTTTGTACATGATTAAATTGTTCATTACCCAGCAAGGCAACCACAACCATGCACAACTCTCCCTTCAAGCTTCAATGTGTAAATCGACTCACAATGAACTTTAGTAGCAGGAAATCTATGGCTGTATGGTTAATGGAGGAGCAACCAACAACCACATTACACCACGTTGCTTTGACAAAGACCTCTCTGTCCATATGAAAAGAAGCTTTTTGGAATTGACAACATGTTCCTTCCCACTGGAGACACAGCCACACCAAGGAAAATAGACCAGCAGAAGTAGAACATGCTACTTATCATGACAAGTTTAGAATCAACCAACTCACCCCTAATTCTGTAAACAATAAGATGGTCTACAAGATGAACTACAATGGCTTTCAGAAGGATTTTGATCAACATCGACCTACATCTATGAGGTCCACAATTAAACCAATACCAGGACATCAACAAGCAGGTCTCATATGTGAATTGATAGTTTGCTTTGACACTAAATCAGTCAATATATAGCTAATTATCAAGCTAAACACAAAGAAGATAGTACAAGGACATCAACCTGGTAAAAGGACATGACCAATTAAACTCATAAACCTAAAACGAGCATGGAATTTCAATCCCCCTACCGAAATGTGTAAATCTAGAACATCCCAACATAATCCCTAAACTGATAGCCATACTAACCGGAAAATTGAATAAAATTGTAGAACTGATAGGTATACTAACCGAAAAAAGTTGCGGTGGAGGAGGTAGGTCAGCGGTCTTCTTTTGCTATCGATGGGAAGAGGGGGTTCTGTGCAGAGTCTTCGTTTGCTATCGATGGGAAGAGGGTCTTCGTTTGCAATCGACGAAGAGATGCTCGCTCTCGTCGTCCCTTGCTCGCCGCCTTCACTGTCGTCGTCGGAATCCTGCTCGCCGCCTTCACTGTCGTCGTCGGAATCCGGAATCCGAATCGCTGCAATCGACAAGCTTCTTCTACTCGTCGTCACCCACTGCTCGCCGTCTTCACTGTTGCCGTCTTCACTGCTCGCTAGCTGCGTGGAGAGGATCGAAGGAAGAGGATCGAAGGAAGAATGGTTTCGGCGGTGAGAAGAGGTGAGAAGAATGGTTTCGGCCGTGAGAAGAGGTGAGAAGAATGGTTTCGGCCAAAATAATTTCAGACAACTGGTTGTACCGGTTGTCCACACAAATAAAATAAAATATTAATAATTTAAATAAAATCTAATGGTTGATATAGTTTGAACATAATCTAATGGCTGTAAATGTTTTATAGCACCAATACTATAAAGCACACTAAAATGCCTCTAATTAGATTTGAGAACACCATCGATCATTCTTCCTCCAATATTATGGTTCTTTTCTCTTTCTTTAATTTCTCCACCATAGTTGATTTTATTTATGGTCAGATAAAGTACTGAAATGTGACTAGACAGTAGTTGAGTTTCCAACAACAGCGTTAAGGCACCACCCTACCCTATCTTCCCCAACCCCAACTTGTCTTCTATCTCTACACGAACCAGCAAATTAATTATGCGCAGAAGACTACTTCGATCGTTTCTTTTCTCAGTCCATATTAAGTCAAATAAATAGGCGTCGCGTACGTACTTAATTTTTCTGATTCGTTCCAATTGGGTTTGGACCATTCATTCATTTCATTGATGCATCAGCATCATCATCTGGGTTCATCAATCAGAGGCAGGCCTTGCATTTGCATTCTCCAACAGCACTATAGACCCAACCAGCCCAGAATTACGTACAAAGATATGGTCCAACGTAACAAACCATCTTCCCAATTCCATTTGCTCTCATCAGTTTGGATTCTTGGACTAGATCTCCCTTAATGTTTCTGATACGTTGTGTACTTCTTATGGACCATTATTTTGCATTCCCTTCTCTCTGTCGTCGTCTATGTCTTCTGCCATACATACGTGTTATCGGTGTCGTGCATTCGGCCCATGTTTCATTAGTCATTACATTGTCCCTTTTGTTGCCCATGCATCGATCTTCATGCCCTAGGACACATATGAGTGCATGTGTGCATCTCGAATTTGATGCCTATACAAAACATTATAGTCATTTTTAGCTACAGTGATTTGTTTGGAGATATTCTTAGCCCTAACCACTCAACATCTCCATGCATGGTGCAACCGACCAGTTTTTTTCCTATGTAATGGTGGAGTCACTTTGCAATAAAGCAAGCGTGTCATTCGGTGGACTGTCTTCCTGAAACTGCGCCACCATTTTATCCAACTCATCGTGACTTGAAAGTTTGGATTGATGATTAATTACCAACATATGAATTTATTGATTATATTTTGTAAAAAAAATTCAAGGATTACTAATGCATTAACACTAACTATTTACAAACAATAATATTGTTTTATACACACCGAAACATTTCACAATGAAATGAACAAACTAACCAATAATATTGATGGTTAATCTGTTAATGGGTACTAGCATGTACCCGGCCGATTGGCCGGAAGATTTGAGTTCATTATTTAATAAGAAAAATCCATACTTTTTCATAATTTATGTCATTTGATCTCCTAAATTCAAGAATTATAAATAAGTTAAGCACGCCTTCATGAATATAGGATATGCACCTATATATCTTATCTAGATTCTCAACTTCATGATGTCCGACAAAGAATTCAAGTGCTTAATTTAACCTTGTATGCATTTCCTTTTTAAAAAACCTTCATCATTTGACAATATTGTCTCTGTCACGTTATTTTAAGTTTATCCTAATTCCCAAACACAAAAATGTCAACAAAAACTTAACACCTACACTTTCTAGAATTAATTCTTAATCACCGAATCAACAAAATATCAAGATTTCAATTTTATTAATCATAAAAATACACCAATTACAAATCATTACCTCTCAATGTTAAAATTACCTTACACATATCCCAACTCTATAAATAGCATAATAATTAAAACCCTTAGTCATCTTTATGAACCAATTTAGAATTATTGAAGATCAATGAAAATTATAAAAACTAAATTAAAAATTAATTTTATAAAAACTAAATAACTAAAGAAAACGGAAGCAGTTATAATTTATAAACATTACTCTACCTCCTATTGCAAAGAGAATAACTAACTCCTTCTGGCGTGGGGATTTCTATTTTTGCTTGGTTGGAAATATAAAATGACAATAAAAAATATATAATTACTATTATGTCCCTAATTAAAATTAAGGCGAAGCGATGAAATTCGAAACGGAGAAAAGTTGATAAAACTCTACTATATCATATTGGTGGATTAGTAAAAACCTAAATTCATGGGTCAAAACTCCCTCCAAATGAGTATGAGTATAACGTATAAATGGATAAAAAAATCTATTCATTTATTTTATACTTACATTTCTACCCAACACAATCAAATTTGATAAGAAAATAACTATGAGTTTGATCAAAACTGTCATCCTACTCAGCCCTCGGTCTATTTCTCTCCTAATTTCGTCTCCAACCGTCTTGATTCCATCACGGTTCTCCTCCTGATCCTTTTGTCGGTATCAAATATAAATCCTTCTATCACAGGAGAGAGGAATTTTTATAGATTTATTTTGAATATTCTATGTGCTAGCTATTGCCCAGCCCAACGACATTGGCATTCATGTGTAGCTGGGACTGAAAGCGACAGGACCTCCATGCAAGGAAAAAGATCGATCTTCAACTGATCCAAGGTAACATATTTCCCCCTCTCCATTGCTCAAAATAAAGCAAGGAAACAAAGTTTGGGAAGTTGTGGAGGCAATGTATAATATGTACATTTCCATAGCCAGTAGTATAGTGAAACAATAGCCATCTTCATATCATCAGTTCACCCTTTTGCTTTCTGCAGTGAAAGGTTTCCATAGCGCTGCTCTCCTACCTATATATGTCTGCCCAGAAAAACAAAGTTTTTTTTTCTTTCTTCAGTACACGAGTTCCCCTAGTCGACAAACAAAGTGTAGAATTTGATAATAATAACAACACCATGCATGAAATTAATTAAGAAGATATGATATGATGTATACAAGTTAGAATATTGTTGTGTTAATTTGACTTTTAAGAGGAGGTACTCTCAAATAAATAAATAAAAATAATCCAATTGGAGAGATTAAAGGGTATTTTAGGATAGGAAGTTAACATCTGAATTCGTTTTAGTCGAGGTAAAATCAATCTTTGGAACAATTGGAGATGACAATTGTACCTAATGGTTTCTCCATTTTAGTCCCTCTATTAAAATTTCATTCCAATCATGCACACATGAAATATATAACATGTCACAAACACTAAAATTTTCTTTCTTTTTCCCCAATTCTGCAACATTAAGCCCGAAACAATACTTAACAAAATTTGAAACATTATCAAATATCTTTGGCTATATGTGGACCTGAATGTGTATGGTTAATTGGAATGGTGGGATGATAAAGATGGGGAATGTCGACAGTAACCATAAC